ATTTCAGGAGGCTCCAAAACCCATAGGATTCCAGATAGGTAAAACTTGCTGATTTATTTGAAAAATAGATAAAATTAATTACTATGAACAAATTTTCAAAAATTTAAATAAAGGCAGAATGTAACCCTCCATGCCTTACTCTGCTCACCCTCAACATGGTCCTAGTTCCAAACTGTTAACACAAACGTAGAAGAAAGCCAAAGTTTCTCTACTTGGCTCACTATATGAAAATATTTACCTCGGTACCCAGGAGCAGTACTACCTCACTAATGCTCAAGGGCAGGCAAGTTCCAGCTGCCTGAAACCCCTAAGGTGACTTTTGGTTCAGGAAGGGTGGGAAGGAGTCCTGGGAGAGAGGAGGCCTGGACCTAGAGTGGCTCTCTAGGAAGATACCTCCTAAGCCTGCCCACTACTAGACTAACGCACCTGGGGATGAAATGGGCTCCAGCTCCAACACTTGCCTGAGGTGAAAGTGGTGAGGTGCAGGGCTACTGGCTGAGCCCATGTTTCTTGAGCTCCTAGCCACTACCACCCCCATGGAGATTCTCTTTGTTCACGGGGCCAGGAGCTCCTGTGCCAGTGCTGCCTTCTGCTGATGCACCTATGGCTGCTGTTCCAAGATAATGTTGGACGGTGTTTTGACCTTTTCATCTGCTCAATAGAATCACCGAGTTCACATCTGAAAATTAAGAAAGGCGCAGAGACATCAGATGATTTGACACCTGGAGACACGGACCCGAAGAGGTGAAGGGCCATAGCAGGAGAGATGATGACACGCAGGTGTCCCAGGGAAAGGGGATTCCGTGAAGTTCACTGTAACACTTGTCACTGTCCAACCCTGGCCATGCATTCCCTCCAAGTCATAGTTTATTCTTTAGCTCAATTGAGGCTCCATCCTGCAGCTCAAAAGACTATACTCACTTGTTGAGGTCCTGCCCCAACAAAGGAGCTTTACTCAATTTTGCATGCAGATTTAGGTATGGAGATGCAAGGGAGAGAGGGACACCTCATGCTGTGCCTTGGAAAAATGTTTGCAGATGTCTTTTATCCCAGCTCTGAATATCCACCAGGCAGTAATCCACCACAGAGCAGTAAATAAACTGAAATGATTTGTCAGGAGGCAGTTTCCTTTAGGATTGTCAGTGTTGCTGAACCCTCCACACTTTCAGGAGTTGTAAGAGCAGAATGTTAGGGCTGGGTTTGCTCAGCACTAGGGGTGTTCAGGTGCAGTCTGCAAGAAACCCAAAGGACCTCTTTGAGAAAGTCCAAGTACTCCAGAGTTTTTGAATATCTTTTGGTGTGTTTTGTGCACACCCTTGTGTGCTACCTCCAGCGGACTGGCTGGGGAGATTTCTTGAGATTCAGGAGAGATTCTTCTTCTAGGCCCAACATTCATAGAGCCAGAAAAGAGTCCTGCTTTCCCCCACAAGGCTGCACTTACCTTGGTATTGTGTTAGGAGTTCATTAGACAGATAGTTAGGCAGCATCAGAGATTTTGTCTTTGGTTCTAAGAACAACACACTACAGTTAAAACCATGGATCTGAACTGTAATAAGAGAACATCCTGGCATTACTGACAGGAATTCAGTCATCCTAACAACAGTTTGGCCATAAAATTTTGGCAATGTGCAAGGCATTATTCAGGAAAGTCATCTATTATAGGCAAACACACAGGCTTAAAGAGTGCTGGCACGTTCTGAGGACCTGTATCATCATGGCTCTCTGAAACACCTCACTGGAATTGACCAACACAGTATTACTGTCCATGTCCTTTGGTGTTGGTGGATGGTCCACAGCTTGTGATAGGCCCTTGCATCCTGCCACCTCATCACCAAGGCAATGCTAGTTGTCTTATCAATGAAGCAACTTCACATGGCCATATTGGCTTATTATACTATACCCACATTTAAAGTGTCCTCCTCTTGTTTCTAGAAGCATTTCTTCTGTATTCATTGTCTTTGAGTTTTCATTATATTCCATGCATTCAGGTTGTTTTACTCAGCTTTCTTAAACCACAAGGCCTGACACCTGAGCACTTTATATTCAAAGAAATATCCTGCCTGAGCCAGTTTATTAGTCAAAGTTCTTCAAACTGATAGAAACCATATGAAGTTGAAACATTTATTTTTCTATCATTTATCTATAGAGCAATGCTTATTTTTGTAGATTCATTATAAAAAGATTGGGGTACAGGCCATGGGGCTGCCAAGGGCGGCTAGGCGTGCTGAAGGGGTGACCATGTGGCTACCACTCGTGCTCAGGGTGCTGTGGGCCATTGCCATGGGCCTGGAGCTGACTTACATGCTGGTGCTGAGTCCCAGGCCTCCACCACTGGAAACCCTGGCCAGGGCCCTGCAGCTGACGCTGGGCACCTTCCAGCTGCTTAACCTGCAGGGCAACATGGGGCTCCTCCTGGGCTCGGATCCTAGCATCCATGGCTATGGCCTGGGCCAGGTGTACTGCTACCAGTGTCAAAGCAGGTGCCGCCGCGCGGCGGGCATTGCTCTGCCTGCCGCGTCTGCATCTTGCATCAGGACCACCATTGACACCTGCTGGACCGCTGTGTGGGCTTCCACAACTACAGGCCCTTCCTGTGCCTGCTGCTCCAGGCCGCTGGTGTCCTGCTCTATGTCTCCATGCTGCTGGGCCTCGTGCTGGCAGCCCTGCTGTGTACTCAGGTGCCCTACACACCATCGCCCTCCTCCTGCTGCCCTGGCTCATGCTGCTCACAGAGTGTCTCTGGCCCAGTTTGCCCTGGCCTTCATGATGGACCCATGTGTGGTGGGGGCGCGGCTGCATTCAGCCAGGCTGCTCTTACAGGGGATGCTGTTGTTTGGAGTGGGCTCGGGGCCAGCACTCCTACAACCTGGGCCCCTGCCACAACCTGCAGGCTGTCCTGGGTCCTCACTGTACCCTCGTCTGGCTCTGTCCCTTCCTGGCCTCCCCACTGCCCGGGGATGGGATCAGCTTCCCAACCTCAGAGGCAGTGGGACTCACGGATTCCTGACTCCAGGAAGGGCTCAAGCTGCACGGCGGGGCGGGGGTACAGGCGGAGAGGCAGGTTGGCCCTTGATGCCTGCAGTGGGCAATGCCAGCTCAGCCTTGGCCTTGGCCCTACACAGCTCAGCACCTGCAACTCAGGGCCTTGCTGCCCTTCTGCCAGGCTAATCAACTGCTGACTTTCCTGCTCACTGCCCCCACGCCCCACTCCCCGTCTTCACTGGATTTCCAGTCCCTCCCTAAGTCGGGGCTGCTGTTTCTGGTTGCCCTGTCAGGCCTGAGGGTCTCAGGGGCCAGGGCTCCCCTCCTTGGGGCCAGGCTGCTGGGATCTGGTGGTGAGAAGGCAAACATTCCCAGGTCTAGCACTCTGTCAGTTTCACACAGCCTCTCTTAGCTAACCCAGGCCACTGGGCAGCACTTCTCCTTTCTCAATGGGTGAAAATCTTAAAGCTCAGTGAGATCATGGGGTAGCAAGTAAAGGGGGCAGGACTGAACCTAGGCCACCAGCCAACACGCATCCTGGGAGGCAGCAGGTTATTCCTCAAGGAGCTGGGTCCCTGCTCAATTCCAGGTCTTTGCTTTCGTCTTCACCTTGCACAGCTAAAGCAAGCAGGGAACAAACCCGAGGCAGGGGGTGCTGAAGCCTCTGTGAAGCCTGCTCCTCCAGAACTCCTTGTTAACCATTCCTGCATAAAGACTGCAAGCAGACAGGCTCAGTGTGGCAGGTGTAAACAAAAGTTTTCTCTTAGAATCTCAGTAAAATGACAGTAAAGAGATAAAAAAGATACGAATTCAGCCAGGGAAGGAAAGTGAGAGGAGAGGCAGCAACAGGCCAAAGAGGCTGGCAATGTTTGGAAGCACAGAAAGGGGTTGGGTTGCAAGTTCCCAGGACCAGGAAGCCAGCAGAACGCCCCCCAGAACCCTGCAGAGGCTCAGGAACTCCGCCAGTGGCAGGGAAGGAGAGGCGAGGCTGCAGGCAGATGGTAGGGATGAGTGAAAGTAGGTCAGGGGCAGCTCCGGTGCTCTCCTCCCCACAGGTCCCACTTCATCCCTGACAGTCACCCTTCTGGGGCGAGAAGGGGTGAAGAGTTGTTTGAAAAAGAAACCAGACAGGTCTCAGGGTTAGTGGGGAAGGGAGGGAGGAGGGTCTGGGTCTAAAACAGGGTTAAGTAAAAGTCTGCAGAAAATGTGGGAAGGTCCTCCTTCCAGCAGGCTTGACTAAGAATTCCGGAGGGGTCCGCCCCCCTTGTTTTAAATTTGAGAGAGAAGTGCAGCGAGTCTCCCATTCGCTGCATCACTCCCCATATGCCTGCAACTGCACCAGATGCATTCAGTCCAGGCCTCTCACACAGGTGCCAGGAACCCAGCTACTTGTGCCATCACCTGCTGCTTCCCCGAGGTGCACATTAACAGGAAGCTGGAGTCAGGAGCAGAGAAGTGACTTGAACTCAGACACCCTAATGTGGGACATGGGTGCCCTAACCCTCGGCTTAACCTCAGGGCCCTTGTGGCAGGCTCTGTGCACGCCCAAGAGGATGGAGCTACTGGGGTCATTGGCTGGTTTACGGTGTTTTAAAGATATTGGGGACTCGCTGTGCCTGGCTCTTGGTGCTACACGTCAGCATTGGCAGATTTGCCCTGAATCCTCCTCCCTGCCATCCCTCACACCCCAGGATATCTTCATGATTTTTATTACATGGTGAGGAGCTGCAAGATTATTTGTAAAACAACCACCTCCCAACCCATGTGGAAAAGTTTCCATTTCCTGCAGGGTCCCCGCTGAGCCCTCCCTGGTGGGGGGACATTGTCTTGCACTAGTTCCCTTGTTTTGCTTTTCTGACATGGGCTCATACTGCTTTTGCATGTTTTTGTATTTTACACAAATGAACTCACATGAAGTTTACTCTCCTACACCTTGCCATTTCACTTCCTGCTTTGTTTCTGAGATGTAGCCCATTGTTGTGTATGGCTGCGGGCCATTCCTTTTCCCTGTGGTACAGTGATCCACTGCGTACGTAGTATGCCATGAGCAAGTTTCCTCTTCTGTTCCATGGGTCATCTTAGCTACCCCGTTCCCTTCCCTTTGAGAATAATCCACTAAGATCTACTCTTGGCTCTTGCTCTTCCAGATGAATTTGAGGATCAGCTTATCAAGTCTCACCAATAAAAACTCCTCTGAGATCATAAATGGAACCCACTAGAACCTATAGGTCAACTTGGGGAAAACGGGTATCCATGTGAAATTGAATTTTCCAATTCATGAAAGTGATGTATCTACCCATCTAATGCTTTCAATAAAGTTATATACACAAAGATTAAAAAAAAAAAGATGTTGGCTCCCCTGTGCTGCTTCTGGAAGTTGACAGGTATCAAGACTTGCACTTGCCAAGCTGGAGACCCTGGAGAGTCAAAGTTAATATTTTAGAACAAATTCTGGGCAAAAGTAATATCTAAGCTCTAAGACAGGCAGGAACAGTTCCCTCTTGCTCAGAAGAGGGTCAACCCTTTCATTCTATTTAGGCCTTCAATTGACTGCAGGAGGTACACTCACATCAGGAAGGACAATATGCTTCACTTAGTCTACTTGTTCAGATGTTAGCCTCACCCATCCAAGAACATAAATGAAAATGTTGGTTCACTATCTGTGCATGTAGTTGTCTACATGATTTGATGCAAAAA